TAAATCTCAAGACGAGTAAAAATACAACAAGTCTGGCAGTCAGCTTGTTCACCTTTTGGAACAAAAAACAGCATTTCCTTGCGCATTTTATAATTTTAAAATTTGAATGAAAAAAATTTAATGTTAAATCTTTCATATTTAATGTATTCAACCCCACCGTGCAGCTGTAGAATACATCGTCAAATATTGGGGAATTAATGAATTACCAAGCTTGCAGAAAATAATAAATATTAATTAATTTTTGCATTCAAATAAAAAATAATATCAGGAAAAAATATCATTCCAAGATAAGTTATGTACATAAAATTGTAGATATTAAGTAAAAATATTTCTAATGGTAAAATTCTGATGGATCTTCCATTATTTTCAATCAGTAGTTACTTATTATGCAATTTATAAATTAATTAGTAAACAAATCCACCTAAAGTGTGCAAACTTTTCAATTTAATTATAATTGGATGATGAAATCTTCTGAGGCCCTCTTGAAATACTACTTCCCCAAACATTTGGAGACGCAAAGCAAATCGTCACATGTCCATCCACTACCCACTTTTATCAACTTTGGGGAGCAAAAGAGGCACATGCGGACTTTGCGTCTCTTGATTTTCGCCCGCTTTGTGAACATCCAAACAAACAATCGCGCGCTCTATGCCTTTTCAAGAGGCCTGCCCTAAAGGGTGGTGAATTCGACTTGTACTCGTCGGGCGGCCGTAGAATCTTAAGTGAATTTCGCAGACGCGCGCTCACAAAGGGGCTCTCTCAGATTTGCTTGCCATCGAAAGGGTCCTTTGCACTATTGCCTCTCCCCGTCCCCAACTCCACGCGGCACTAATTTCACGACAATGATCTTCGACTTTCCTCCACCCAAGTTTCTCCTCCGAGTTTCTAGTTCTCCTCGTCTAATTACTTAACGATCCCTTCTTTTGTTGTTTTTCTTGTTGCTAGTCCCTTCCTTCCTCCCTCCCCTCACGACGCGCAGCTTTTCGCTTGCTAATTTTGTTGGGGGCTCCTTCCAACTTGCCAATCCCATAAATTGGCCCGCTCCACCTTTGTTCTCCACGCCTTTGGTTGCCAATCAATTATAAACTGCTCCTGATTTAACTTGCGAGCTTCCTGCACGGTTATCAATTGCATTGTCAGAAGTCAAGGCGGAGGAAGTGGGTATGCAACCCGCACTGCGAGTTCGCTGAGCGAGCTGCATAACTTTCCAAAGTTGCCGGCGCACTCATTGTCAGTTGGCGAAAGATAAATGTCGTTCAAAAATCGGAGAGGCTCAGTTGCGATCATTGTTGAGGGCTTTGAGTGAACTTTTGAATGTGGGTAGGAATTTCAATATTCTTTTTGTACTGATAATTTTGTTAAATTCATACATTTTTAGTTCTAAATTCATTTAGAAAAATGTTGCACAGTTGATGGTTGTCTCGTATTTTTTGTAAATATTTTATTTTTATATGAGAAGTACACTTTATAATAATACTGTGGTAACATTTACAATAAAACCTAAATAAATAATAACGAATTTATTTTAGTAAAATTCAACTACACATTAACTTTATTTCAAATTATAATTTTTTTTTTAAATTTTTCTAAATTAATAACAATTTACTATGACATTCAATATTTTAGTATATGGCATGATCAAATACTTTTTTTGAAATTCAATTATTTATTAAAATCTATGCAAATATAATATAAATATTATTGTACCACATTCACAAACATTATTTATAATCATGAGAAACTTAGCTCCCGCGTCTTAGAATCATAAATTAATGAAAAAATATAGATAACTAATTTGGCTGCACTTTTAAACTAAACTTTTTCTAGAGATATCCTGCAATCCTGCATGGCTAGTAATAATTGTAAAATGGTTAGCCTGGAAGGATAATCTCCAGAAAATGTCCCTGATGATTTTGAATTTTCTTTTAGCTCAAATGCACCTTAGAAAATAGAAATGATGTAGTTTAATTTTACAATTATAATAAAATGATAACTTTATGATAAAAAACCAATCCACAATGCAAAATTTGATAAGAGACGTGGATGCAAAAGAAAATTGTTTTCTTCAAATAAACTTTCTAGCAATCATTTTTATTTTTATCGACCCTATAATGGAGTATTTAATTAAAAACATTATTTGATTCCGTAATTTAGAAACTTGTTTAGCATATTGGCAATAATTTTTAATTGAAATATTTCGCTCTCTGCATTAAATGGGACATTTTGCACATTTACGAGACGGCCACAGCTGAACATCAGTGTAGTGGCAAGCTTTTCATTAAGCCGGCACACAACGAGTGATTCACGTAGGAGTGATGGAGGTGCGCGCGTGCCAAATCCAGCCAGCAAATGTCGTCGTAAAGAGAGGCGCTGGCCGGGTCGACAATAAGTGGCCGGCCTATGACTTTTGCACCCGCCGCCGACTTTTCCGAAATTAATTTCGGGCCAGCACATATTGCACGAGGCGAGCACATACATGTAGACACACAGGAGGGGAGCCGCTCTAGAGTGGTGCTGCGTGTTTTTGGCGGCTCAAAAGCTTTTACCCGAATTGATCCCTTTTATACCTATCTGTCGAGAAATGGGTCCGACTCATCTTGCGGTGGCAGCGGCAATAAAAACGGCTCCACTTTTATGGGCTTGCATCCGAGATGACTGAGAGAGCGACCAGCAGTTATGACTGCCCGGCCGTTCGCACTAATTGAATACCCACCCCTTTGTCGTCCACCGTTTGTTTGCCGCTCGCTCCCAATTTATTGCCATTCGGACCCGCCGACGACCTCGCATTAGCATTCAGGACGCTCTCGCCGCTCTTTTAATCCGGTCGCCGGCTCAAGCTTTTTGATTTATGCACCTGCGAGGAAGGAAAAAGGGCACTCTTCCTTTCGCGGCTACCGGCCAAAGAGACATGCCAGTAATTCAAGTGGAACGAAACTTTTCTTGGAAAACTTGTTCCCGGAAGAAAGGAAGAAAAAAGTGGCGATTTCTCCTCACGACCGGACATCTTTAATATTTCTGTGCTCACATATTATATAAAAATTTATAACACAAGTAAGGGATGAAAACTTTTACAATAAATCAACAATCTGACTGAGAGGTCAAGAACATCACTGACCCTTAGAAGTCGTTTATAGGGGAAGGAAATATTTGTGATTCTATTATTTGAAGCTAATTTTCTTAATTTATTAAATTTTTTCTTATTACAACTCCGGCTGAGTTGATCGTTTCATCATTAAAAATTTGTACGTTCACGCAAAATATTTCAATTTTCATTGTTTATTTTGCGACTAATATTTGTATAAAAGCTTTGCTATTTTTCTTTAAAGCTACTTAAGAAATTTGGAACCAGCTTAGGGAATTTCAAACTACTTAATAGCCTTAAAAAATTGCTTTTATGATAAAAGTAATTATTTGTGTTGATTTTCTTTGTATTTTTTTGAGAAAAAGGAAAATGCTTTGCAATTGAAAAATCTTTTATGAAAGTACGTATGATTAATTTGGAGAATTTTAAAATATTTCTAGTAATTTTAAAGCACCTTGAAGACTTAAAACGGAAATAAGAAACGCGGTTTTATTTCCACCATTGGCGACACATTCCCAAATGGACAGAACAACTCTAATTTCAACCTTCCCAGAAGAGCGGAGAGTGAAAGGAATTCGTGATTGTTTTTGCTCGCGTCCAATCAATTCGGAGACGCGAAAACAACAAAAGAATGGCCGAGAGAGGGCACGTAAAATGACGCTCGCCGTTCAGACAAAAAAGCGGCGGCGGCGGCGAGAGCTTTGTCTTCATCAAAAAGCAGTGCCTCGTGACAAATTCAGCGCAACTACTCGAGAGGGCCGCCCTCGACGAAAGAATGAAAACAAAAAACCAGCGCCAGCAGCGGATGTTTTATTTCTCGGGGTGTGTATCGGCCGGTTTGGCAGTTGATCAATAGTCCATAAATACGGAGGGCATTGTTTTTGCCCGGCTAATAATAGGCTCAGCAAATTGGGTGTCTTTTTGATGTCATCTCCATGTCGCTCGCCACCCCCGGAGGCGGTCGCGCACAAAGGCATTTTGATTAATCATCCGGCCTGAGTGGCAGCTAGGCAGGTGATCTTTGCCTCTCATACTCTGCGGGATGGTCGCTCGTTTGTGTGCGTGGCCAAGATTTAATGGTGCGAGGCCCCCAGCCGGCCAAATTGATTGAAGTGCCCATTACCGCCGGCACAGACGGTGACGACGACTGCATTTTCGCCCCCTGCTCCGCCGGCGCTTGCTGGCGCCAAGGCACCACTAGAGTCATCTCCCGGACGCACGAGCGTCCTCATTTCACCTGTGCAAAAGTACAAATAATCGATTTAGCAAAAATAAACTCGTTGGTGCGATAAGTGAAAAATGAGAACGAATCGTGAAATTAATTTGAAATTATAAAGTAAGAAGATTCAATAAATGTTTTCAATTTGTTGGGTTTAGAGCATTTCCTTCCTAAGAAAAAAAGTTATAAACATTTGAAATTTGAAACTAATAATCAATTCCCCCCCCCCCCCACAAATACTTATTATTTTTGAGCTTACATGGCTGTTTACATGAAATAAACTGTATTGCCCCTCTAGCACGATGCAATCATAAGTTTTCTGTATTTCCACTTTTGTTGTTTCAATTATGATAATTATATATATGCAGATAATTTAATCGTTGAATTTATGCGATCGGTAAGAATCTACCAGACGCTGCTAAGCATTCTCGAGATTAAACATCACGACTTGGGCGTAAATTTATAATAGGAAAATAAAGAAAAGAATATATCTAGGCACACCATGTTGCTAATGAATGTAAAATTATAATATATTTATAATATTAAGATTATTAATTTTTATATTAAATATTAAATATTAAAATAAATTAAGAAAATTACTAAATTATTATTATTTAATATATGAGAATTTGGAAAAGATAGCTATTTCTTTATGAATAAAAATTTGTATATATTAAAATGTTTTATTATTTGTTGCAGGTTGCTGCTTTGTTACCTTCTACACAAGAAAGGCTGCTTTGGATGCGCAAAATGCGCTTCATAATATCAAGACTTTAACAGGGGTAAGTACAAAAATTGTTTACATTTTCTTTCACGAAATTTTGATAGTTTTTATTTTATTCCCGTTCCGAAAATTTGATTGCACTGCGTGTTTAAAAAAATTAAATAAAATAACAATAAATCTTCAAATGCTCAAATTGATTTCGTCATTAAAATTTTTAAACTAATGATGTAAAAAGAATTCAATTTGAATCTTTCCATTAATTACGTTATGTTTTTGGTCAAAAATGGGCTCATTGCCATCTAATGTTAAAAGTTATGGGATGTTTGTGTATGATCACGTACGTTGTCATCCCGAGCTGATCTCCTTCTTGCTTGGCGACCGTCTCTCGATCTTTTCTCGAAATCGAATCTCCGTCGTGTGACACCGCCAAAAGTGGCTCAAATTCACTCGCCACGACCGAAAAAAATGTGTGTCGCCAAGCGAGGGAGAACGAAAGAGCGAAAAACGCCCCTTGGGGAGTGCTGGAGAAAGTCTCAAATTCAGTCGATGCGTCGCTTCTTCCTCTCCAGCGGCGGAGAATAGAAAAAGCAGCTCTCAATTTTTCCGCATCATTAGTGCGCCGATGCACTTACTTTATAAAAATACACCTCTCGGCGGCACACGAGAGTAAATTCTTTTGTCCTCTTTCTTGGCACCGGACCGGGAAACACGCTCCACTAGCCTTATTAAATTTCCCTGGCGCGGAATTCACGTTTTTCATCGCGAGAGTCTATTCGGCCGCGAGCATTAGTACCTTGTTGGACACGCATTCGAGCCAATTTATCATGAGAGCCAACTTTGTAGTGGCCTCTCGCTTTAGTAAGAGAGGCGACGACACCTCTTCGCTGACACCCTTTTGCATAACACTCTGTTGAATAAAAAAAACTAAAAGGCAAAAGACAAATTCACTTGGCTTCATTTCACAAAATAAAACTGTAAATTTATTTAAAATAAGCCCTTCTTACAATACAAATGACACAGAATTCAAAATTTAAATCATGTTTGCTTTTTGTTTAAAGAGTTAAAAAATATCTCATCTCTTCTGTAATTATATCTGACTGATTTTTAATAAGCCCGTGTATCAAAGACTCCTCCAATAGATCGCATCAATGGTCATTGAAACTCTATATTTAAAATAAAAAATTGCAAAAATTTGCTTTTATTTTTGAAAAAAAGACTTCATTTGGCAATGCCAATAAGTGCAATAATGAATCGTTCACTGCTAATAAATGTTCCTGTCAATTTTGTTCAAAATTGTAAAGTATTATTCCTAACGATGTGCAAAGGAGAAAATTTATTGCGACGTTGCACTTTGGTGCATAGGAGCAGTTTTAACTCCTGAATACACAGAAAAAAAAATCAAAATATGGCGTGATATTAATCACAATCAGTTAAAATCCTCTGTATCAGAAATTCTACTTCCTCTCCTGGTTTTAATAATTTTCTTACTTGATTGAATTTTAAGTAAATTAAAACTTTGAAGCCAAAAAATTAGCGTTGACTTTTATTCATTAATTGATAAAGCTCACAAATTATAATTACTAAAATGAATTTTATACAATAATATAACCTTTAACCGCGACATTTATCAAACAAATTAAGAGCAATCAAGAAAAATATTATGTTATCAAAATGAATGCTGCACATTTTTTTTACTTAAGTTTTTTTTCTGCTGAATAATTTAGAGTTTTGCTACTGCGAGATTTTTGGCACACCCCCATTCCCTCTCTCAAAAAGAAAATTGCCACAACTTTGCGCCATCTGCACAAATCTCGGGCCGTTAAAATGAACCCCCTACGCAAAATGAATACATTCATTTCTGGCGAGCTACAATTTCGGTCTTATTTATGAGCACGCAGAAGTTTCTTTTCGAGCGAGAAACTTTCGAATTTCTCTCCGCCTCCTCCTCTTCTTCTTCTTCTTATCCTGGCGTGCGCGTTATTTTATTCAAATGCAGTCAGTGGCATTGCGAGTTGGAGAGTAGTTTTAGCTCCCCTGGCTTTTGACGAGCCGCCGCCGAGCGAGCATCTGGCGCGTCAATGTTTGTTTGTTTGTCTGCACCGAGAAGAAATTTTCATTTGAATTAATGATGCACCGCTGTGCACGTTGCTTCCTTTCAAAGGAAAACGCCCCGCGCTCTTCGTCTGACGTCAATCCGCGCCACGTCTGAAAAATGAAACACGACACACGCTGCGCCGACTGACTGCGATAATGCGCTAGTTTTCTCAGTCGGCAGCACGAGAAACAAGAATCTCCACTCTTGTCGCATGCAATAGTAATGTCCGACGATGGTGTCCTGTTTCGCGCGCCCACTCTTTTCTTTGGCCGCGTGATTGCTTTTTGCAACCTGAACTGCCTTGAAAAAGCTCTCCATTCACGCTTTGACGCGAGTTGAAATAATAGAAAAGCAATTGGTTTCTAATGACATGGCAATTTTTATTTTAATGAAATTTTTGACCTCGACAGTAAATTTGGCTTTTTAAGGTTTTTATTTTAGTTTTGTCAGTTACATAAAACCGAAATTAATAACAGTTTTTGAAATAAATTCAAGGTCACCAGAATTCCTTTTTATGTTTCCACCTGAGTATTTTAATTTGAAAATTAAATTATATTTTCTTGACCTTCAGAAAATAAGAACAGACAGGCAAAATTGTAACATCAACTCGTGGATCCGACTTTGTGATGACAATGTCAATATAAGTTTAGTATTGAGTGTTCTGCTTATTTATGAGTTTAAAGTATTTAATTGTAATTAGCTTTTTATTACTGAGGTGGGTAAAACATGCAATTTGCGATAGATATTAGAAATATTTTTTGAATTTCAAATTAATACAAAAATTTAATTATATATCAATAAATATAAAAATTTAGTTAATTCTGTTTATGTGATGTAAATTTTTACATTTAAAAATTAAAACAAATATAGCAATAAAAGATAAAGAATAATTTTTGTTGCATTCAAATTATTTCACTGATTTCTCGATAATTTGTAAGTTTATAATTTTCTGTCGGTTTTAACCTATGTTAAACGCTATGTAATATTAATTAAGATGATATTATATTGGTTTTCTGTAATTATAAACGGCGAATATCACCCAAAATGAGGAATTTAATTGATTTTAATTTAAAAATAATGGCGAGTGACGACACTTTTCATTATTTTTGAACATATTATGTATCTATGAAAGCCATCCTCACCAGGAATAATGCAAATGAAACGCAGTACCTTGGCAGCACACAATGCCAAAAGCCACAATATCCGAGCCGCCGACAGGGTCATTCATAATTCAGCCGCAGCACAAATTAGGCGGCATTTATTCGGGCGCGCGCATGAGCTGGTCAGGATGACTGATGCCAGCAGCAGCGTAGGCACTTCTATTGGACATATCATTATTGTTATATTTGCGAGCCACGATCCGAAATTGGCAACAACCGCAGCTCCCGCATCTGCAACAAGCAGGCAAATAATTACATTTCTGGCCACCGACGCGAATGCATGCGACCAGACCTTGGCTGCGGCTAGACGATGATTGCTCAGCAGCTAGGCAAACGTACACCCTCGTCTAATTTTGAATTGATTTGCATTCGCTATGCCAGGAGTGTGTTGTTGATTTCTGTGATTGGGCTGCTGACAACTGACGGACAGAGAGAGAGGAGCTTTCCGCTTCGGTGCCAAATCAATTGGGCCTGAAATTATTTGAGTTTGACATTTGTTTGATTAGGTGAAGAATTAATCAATTTTGATTGATTAAATTAATAATGCTAATGAAATGATGTAATTTTGGAGCATCAATTTAAATAAATCGACAGTTATATTTATTAAATTTTTCTTATCTTGCAACTAATCAGTTTAAATTAAATTCCAGCTCTATTGAAAGAATAAGTTTCTAATAAATTAACTATATTCTATTAGCTAACCACAAGAACTCAAATTTATCACTGGATTTTATACTATAAATGTTTATGTATTCTTTAAAAGAACTTAAAAAAAAAATCTAAATAGCTTGTTTCATACCATAAAAAAAGTATGTTTGTATTTTGCTCTTTTTACATTCAGCAATTCAAATATTTTTCAAATAAAATTTGTATTATTTATGAACATACAAAAATCCTTGTATAGTCGGAAACCGATATTACCAGTGAATATAATTATTCTGTTTTACATTAATGTGTTTTGTGCTAAAGTTTCTAGTAAATTTATAATGCAATCTTTGACGGAATTATTTAATTTTATTCAATTTATTTATTCTCCATTCAAGCGCTATGAAATTCATTAAATCGCCCTATTAAACGTTGATTGTATTAAATTTATCAAATTTATCAGTTGCAAGTAGAAAAAAAAATGGGGAAAAAATTCTTGTCAACATCAAAGTAAAATAGTTAGTGCAATAATGAGGATAAGGATTTTGTTCGAGGATCTACACTTGATATAAACTCCTTGGTCTTTCTTCTATCAGTTGTGTTAACAATGAGAGGCAATCGGTATTTACAAAAAAAAAATGCGTGGTGTGTTATTTCAAGTGTAGATTAAAAGCCATTTGGGAGGAGGCGTGTGCGTTCCCTTTCAGAGTGCAAAAAGCTTGAATTATCGTTGGCGGTGCTGAAGCGAGAGAGCGAGCATGGGCGGCCAAATGAAATAAACAAAATAGGATGTAATTATAAATCCCGCAGGAACAATGAAATTACATTAAACTGCTTCAAACACAGCCGACCGCAGCGCCATATATCCCAGAGATACAAACCTGCCCTCCTCCCGCCGACCCGACCGGCCTGCCAGCAAAAGCTCGCGTTTGTTATATGCTTTTGCGGAATTTTGACCGCACGTAAATATGCAATTTCGACCGGGCAAAAGCAACACACACACCCCGTGTACACCACTTGCATATGAAAATTTCGCGGCAGCAATAAATCCCAACTCGGGGTCTCGCAAAAATTTCATTATATCATTTTGCGGACGGCTGGTATCTTCATCATCCTGGTGGATTTACTGAAAATTCATTAAATATTTTAATGATTTTT